TCAACCCGGGTCACCTGCGTGCAAGGCAAACACCCTACCCGCTGTGCTCTCTCTCCAGCCCCGGAAGCGTTTTTGTTTTAAACAAACACCCAAGAACTTTCCTGAATGTCCAGCTGTGTGCTACCAACGGAACAGCACCAGCACCCGCCAAAAGTGGTGCTCTGCTGAATCAAGACCTGCGCTCCCAGGAGCTGGCTCAGAGAAAGTGCTGGCTTCACCCAGCGTGGTGCAGGCTTCTGCCCAGCGCCCGGCTCGCCACTCACCACAGGACACGCGGGCAGGGGCTGCCACAGGAGCTTCATGTGGGCCCTCGCCAGGGGCTGTGTCTAATTTGCACTAATTGCTGTCAAATCTGTTTGTTTTCTCCCAGGCCAGCCGGGCTGCTGCTCCCAGTCCCTGCTCTAACGATGCGCCTGCTGGGCTGGCAGAGGGGGGCTGGGATGTGTCCACAGCTACAGCGGGCAGCCGCAGGGCATCTCGGCCCTCCGGTACTGCATAAGGGCATCCGGGCCAGAATTCCTTTGGGGTAAGCTGAGTGTCTCCCCGAGAAGCAGCACAGAGAAGCCAGACTCCAGCCACCAAGGGTGGAGCTGTTCCCCCCACCCCCAACACACTCACAGGAAGAGAGGAGGCTACAGGGGTGGGGTAGCAGGGGAAGGGGGCGGGGGGGGGGGGCATGGGCTCCTGTTAATGGCAGAGTTGTGGCTTTAGACCTCAGGCTTTCCTCGCAACGAAACTCTGAGAATGGCCAGGGACATAGCTCAGTGGAAGAGGACTCGCCTTGTGGGTGCAAAGTCCTAAGTTCAATTTCTGATACTGCTAAGAAAGAGAAGGGGGCTGGCGAGATAGCACAGCGGGTAGGGCGTTTGCCTTGCACGCGGCCGACCCGGGTTCGATTCCCAGCATCCCATATGGTCCCCCAAGCACCGCCAGGAGTAACTCCTGAGTGCAGAGCCAGGAGTAACCCCTGTGCATCGCCAGGTGTGACCCAAAAAGCAAAAAAAAAAAAAAAAAAAGAGAAGGAAGGGAAGAGGGAAGAGAGAAGGAAGGAGGGAGGGAAGGAAGGAAGGAAGGAAAGAAGGAAGGAAGGAAGGAAGGAAGGAAGGAGAAAGGAGGAAGGAAGAGGAAGGAAGGAGGAAGGACGAGGAAGGAAGGAGGAAGGGAGGAAGAAGGAAAAAAACACCACCAAGACTCCAGGCGTAAAGGGAATGATGGGGACTACAAGATGGCCAGGACTGAGTGACACCCAAGAGCCCGGAGCACTGCGCCCATCAGAGGAGCACTCTCCTCCCGCAGGCTCCCCAGTTCGCCTCCAGCCAGAGCAGCCAGGAGCCCGTCTCCCAGTCATCTCCCCTCCGGGGCCCCGGGAAACTTCTTTGCCGACTCGCGCTGACAGATGAGGGCACCCATGCCAGCAAACTGAAAAGCCTCGAAGCCCACGATTCTACTGCTGCTGCTGCTGAGACTAAAACAGCTGGAGGGAGGGTCTGTCTGACGCTCGCACCCGCTCTCATCGCCACCCGCATGCCACTCTGGGTGCCACTCTGCATCCTCCTGCACCCCACAATGGTGTGTGTGTGTCTAGGCTGCAAAGGGACCCCCAGCTTTTCTCAGCACCCTCCCCAGAGACGTATTTCTACACCACGACGCAGTATCGAAACGGAACCAGGGATGCTGTGTGAGGCAGGCGCACGGGCCCCACGCTGTGGCCGCACTGACCGGCGGCCAGAGCCGCAGCACCGGACCATCTGCCCTGTTAGGTCTCAGCCGTTCCTGAGAGCCTGTGGGGCCCAGAGTCCCCCAGAGCTCTGCAGTGCCCGGAGCCCAAGCCCCATGCTGGCGGGACAGGGAGAAGCCAGACCACACAGCAGGCACGGACCAGAGATCTGCGACAGCGCAGAGTGGGCCCACCGGGTGCTGCCCTGATCAGGGACAGACACGGGCACGAGGCCACCAGGGAGCCTCAGCGACAGAAACTAGAAGGGCTGGGCCAGTGTGTGGGGGTCTCCCTCTGCCCCTACTCCGCAAACATTGCAGATCCTGCGAGAGAGAGAGAGAGAGAGAGAGAGAGACAGAGAGAGAGACAGAGAGAGAGAGACAGAGAGACAGAGAAAGACAGAGACAGAGAGAGAGCGGAAGTTCAGCCCTGCTCTCTCTACCTACATGCCTGGGGAACTCTCCCTCCTCCACTCCTCCTCCTCCTCCGAAAGAGGGAAGCCAAGCATCAAGCTCCTCGCAGGACTCAAGGATGCAGCGGGCGGCCTTGGCGTCTCCCTGGTGGTCAGCCCAAGGCCGCCTGGGGTAGGCGCTTCCTGAGACCCGCGTGACGGGCCGGGGCTGGGCTGGGCTGGGCTCTCTACACCGAACTAAAGCTTTGCTCGGGGGGCTGATGGGGGGGTGGCCCAAGCCCAGCGATGCTCAGGGGCTATGCTCAGCTCTGAGTTCAGGGCTGGCTCCCAGCAGGCTCAGGGGACTATGAGGTGCCAGGGATGACTTGGGCCTTCTGCATGCAAAGCCTGCAGTCGGCCCCGTGAACCTTCTCAAGCTGTAAGACAGCTCCTGCGTGATCTGTGCTGAAAGTAGACTAAAGACCAAACGGGACAGCCTCTGAGTATCTGCACTGCAAACCCTAATGCATAGAGAGAGTATGAGGGAAACTGCCATGGAGGCAGGGGGAGGGTTAGAAAGGTGGGGTACACTGGGGACACTGGTGGAGGGATGGGTGTTTGATCACTGCATGACTGAAGCTCAAACATGAAAGCTTTGTAACTGTTGTAATTGTATCTCATGGTGATTCAATAAAAATAAATAAATAAAAGACAGCTCTTGTGGTTCGATCTCGTTCAAGAACACGACACACGGGGAAAAACTCCAACACCCCGGAGAGCTGCAAGAGACAAGAGGCCCCACGCAGGCCTGCAGGATCCCTGCCGCCCTTATCCCAGTCACGTCCAACGGGAGGGCAGCCGGGGCCAGTAGCGGGACTGAGTGGACAGTCCATGCACCCCGCGCCTCACTAGGACCACGGGCCCTCCCCTGCCCGGGCTCCGAGGGCTGGCAAGAACCCAGCAAGGGGCCACAGCTTCGCTCCATCTGGAGGGATGCAAGAGAACCACTATAATTCCAGTGGGCTCTGGGCTTGGATGAGGCTGTGCGCTTGGAGAAAAGCAGGAAGGTATGGGGGGCTGAGGGAGACCCCAGATTCTCCACAGCCCCCAGGCCTGGCCCAGGTTGCGCAATAGAGGGGCAGGAGGAGGGGGAAACAGCCCATGACTGACTCCCCTGGTCAGGTGTGCAGCCGGCACTTGGCCGTGAGGGCCAGGGACCAATCTCTGCAGCCTCAGTTTCCCCTCTGTCTAAGGGACACAAGCGCCCCGTGGCCTTCACCCCATGCTGGGGCGCCTGCGAGACAGGTCCCCATGCAGAATCGCGTGCAGGCTCTGCAGAGCGGCTGGGAGAGGCCAGGACAGAGCGAGCCAAGGGCCACGCTGAGGGTCTGCCTGGGGTTGTGCGGCCAGCACTGAAGTGCCACCCAAGAGCCACCGCCTCCCGCACGAGGGCTCCACTGGAAAGATACGAAGAAGCTGAGGTTGGCAGAGGGGTGACAGGCAAGTGGGATCGGGCCAGTCCTCACTGGCCTGAGGCTCCCCAGCCCAGGCAGGTGTAAGCACTTGGGTCAGCAGCAGGGACACTGGGGACAGCCAACAGAGACAGAGAAGGCAGGGGCCAGCGAGGTGGGCCTGGCCAGCAGGGACACTGGGGGCAGCCCACGGAGACAGCCAAGGGAGGGGCCGGCTAGGCGGGCCTGGTCAGGACGGCGGGAGTGAAGGGTCAACGGCAATGCGGGAGGCCCTGGAAGGAGAGGCCAGCAGGGTGGGCGCTTGTGGCAGCTTCTTCTGCTCAGAGGCACTGCGGGGCTGAGCGGCCAGCGACACCGTGCCCAGGGGGCCTGATTTTGGGAGGACAAGTCTGGACCCAGTCCTTCCCCGGGACCCCTGTTCTGGGCTGAGGGATCCCACTTTCTTGCCCTGGCCCTTCGGCAGGCAAAAGCAGCAACCAGCTGCTCTCTCGCAGCCAGAGCCTCAGTTTACCCCTTAGTGATGAGTGAACCCCGAACCTCAGCTCCCCACAACCGGCCAGCACCACAGGCCTCCCGCACGACACCAGGGAGGCCCATCCTGCTCCCAGTCCTGCGCCCAGACCGCCCCAGAGCTCCGGCTTTTCCTAATGCACACGGCTCCGAGAAGCAGAGAAGAGGCCACCGTGAGGATGGACGTCAGGGACAACACGGCCGGGCCCGGGAGACTCAGACATTCATGAGAGCCTCCTGGGGACAGCTGGGGGGTGGCACGAACAGGGGACTCGACATGCTCTTCCGAGGGAGGGGGCTCTGGGACTCAGACCCTGCAGGTGGGCATGGGCAGCTGCCCCACCTGGTCACCAGCTCGAGGGGGTCTGCTGTTGATTCAGGGGAGACCCTCGGGGCTGGCGCCTGTTCACGTAAGGCAGAGAAATGCCATCTGAAGGGGCCTTCTCTTGATACATGATTCATGCACTCGGGAATTAGCCCTGGCGGTGCTTGAGGGACCTTATGGGATGCTGGGAATCGAACCCGGGTCGGCCGCGTGCAAGGCAAACGCCCTCCCCGCTGTGCGACTGCTTCAGCCCCTCTTGCTACATGATTCAAATGAGCTCAGGGTGGTGGCAGGAAGAGGTGGGGAGCTCTCAGGGAGGTGTGAAGAGGTCAGAGGTAAAGGGTCAGAGGTGAAGGGTGAGAGGTAGATGCAAAAAGGAAAACTGAGGGAAGCCCCAGCTGACTCCCAGTGGGCAAGCCCAGGGCTCCTATCTGCCCAGGAGAAGGTGGGACCCCATGTGACCTTCCCCAGCCTGCGCCCCTGTGGTGTCCGCAGCCTGGGAATCCCTCGAGGTGCCCATGGGAGAGCGTGGGAAGAGGCGGGGGTGCGGGCAATCCCCCAGACCAGGCTGTCACTCTCACTCACCCACGATCTCGTTCTCCTCCAGGTTGATGGTCTCCAGCGCGGGCAGCGTGGTGAGCTGTTCGGGGAAGTCCTGGAACTGGTTCCGGGACAGGTCGATGGCCCTGAGGTGCTGCAGGGTGCTGACCTCATTGGGGAGGCGATGCAGGAGGTTCCCTTCCAGGCGGAGCTCTGCCGGGTGGGGAGGAAGGCGAGGAAGGGTGAGGGGGGTGCAAGAGCCCGGACCTGGGCCAAGACGGCAGCGGCAGCGGAAGGCCACCTTGGGGGCCAGTTCCCCAACTGTGCAGAGGAGAACCCGCATTAGCCATTCCGCCCTTCCAGCGGGCGGCTCTCCCTGCACAACGATGAGAGGCCACAGGCTTGCTGGTAAGCTCAGGATACAGCCCCAGGACTCCCCTTAACCGGCAGTCTGCAGAAGGACACCCCCTGTCACTGGCCCTCTCCCCCGGGGCTGTGGCTGGGCTCGTCTCCCAGGAGAGTAAAGGGTGAGGTTCACCACGGGGGGACGGGGGGCCAGGGCGCTGGGAGCGAAGCAGGAAGGACCCCCATGAGTGAGGCCTGACCTGGCAGAGCCATGAACTTCTCCCCCAAGAAGTCTCCAGGACTTCCTGGGGGTGCTCTGTCATCCCCAAGAAGAAAGAGCCCAGTGAACAGTGTGTGTGTGTGTGTGTGTGTGTGTGTGTGTGTGTGTGTGTGTGCTTGGTTCTTTATTGAATAGAAAGGTGGGGGAAAGGTGAGCACACCCAGGGGACAGGATCGAAAGTGGGGGTGCAGCCGGAGGGTGGTAGGAGAACAGGGGCCTCAGACAGCACCCCCAGCCCTGCAGCCAGTCCCCAGGGCTGCAGACGCCACCCCGTTACCCAAGGCCGGCAGCCCCCAAGGTGCCTAGAGACCGCTAAAGTGAAAAGACAAGTAGCAAAATAATGCTGGCCGAGTTCTATATAGCACAGGCATCAGGACGTGGAGCTTCCCTTCCCTTCCTGCAAGGGACAGAGCAGGGCCTGTCCTGTGACTCACTTCTCATCTGCAGAGACATCCTGCGACCATGGCTCTGTCTGCAGGACCAGCGCTCACACCCACAGACCCAAGGCAGTCAGGTTCTTGCCCGATCCGGACAGCAGGAAAGCAGGTGGAAGGAGGGAGTCAGTGGACGCCCAATACTTCCAAGTAGGCCTTGGCCAGAAAATGTTTCTTCAAACACTCCTAGGTAAGATGCAACCTCAGGATCTTTGAACCTGCAGTTCTTCCCTAGATGGTTCTTGGTTTCTTCCATGTTCTCTTTTGGGCATCTCTCTGTCTCTCTGTCTCTGTCTCTCTCATCTACCTCTCCCACTCCCCAGGTAAACTTCTTTTCAACATAACTATTTATTTCACCATTTCACTTCCTCCTGAAATTCCTTTCTGTGAGGGAAGGTGATGGGCCTGGAATGTCCATGCCAGGTGAGGACTAACTTTCCTGTCCCCCAAAGAGCAACTCCTCGCGCCAGCCTGAATCTGTGGTGGAGATCACCTTCCACTCCATGAGGAATAAGTGGGGCTCGGGTGCAGCTCATGGGGTGGGTGGGACGGGAGCCTCCACGCCTTGGCGACGCTCAGCTGGCCTCAGCAGCACTGGCCCGCACCAGACCTTTCCCAGGTGACTGATGTCGGTCCAGCACAGAGGTGGGAGCGCTGTTTTCTCCAGGCCCCTCACCACGTCTCCCGCACCATTACTGGGAAGCCATTTCAGGAAAAAAGGTCAAGGAACCACAGGAGAAAATCTCCAGCAGGAGGGAAGGAACTTCGTGAAAATCTGCCACGCAGATGATGGTGATGATGATTATGGTGGTGGTGGTGGTGGTGATGGCGATGACGATGATGACGGTGGTGATGACGATGATGATGGTGGTGATGGTGATGATGGTGACGGTGGTGATGGTGGTGATGGTGATGATGGTGATGGTGGTGATGGTGATGATGGTGATGATGATTATGGTGGTGGTGATGGTGATGATGGCGATGATGATGATGACGGTGGTGATGACGATGATGGTGGTGATGGTGATGATGGTGATGATGATGATGACGGTGGTGATGATGATGACGGTGGTGATGATGATGATGATGGTGATGATGATTATGGTGGTGGTGGTGGTGGTGATGGCGATGACGATGATGACGGTGGTGATGATGATGATGGTGGTGGTGGTGATGATGGTGATGATGATGATGGTGATGGTGATGATGGTGATGATGATGACAGTGGTGATGATGATGACGGTGGTGATGATGATGATGGTGATGATGGTGATGATGGTGATGATGATGATGGTGGTGGTGATGATGGTGATGATGGTGATGGTGATGATGGTGATGGTGGTGATGGTGGTGATGGTGATGGTGATGGTGGTGATGGTGATGATGGTGATGGTGGTGATGGTGATGATGGTGATGGTGGTGATGGTGATGGTGGTGATGGTGATGATGGTGATGGTGATGATGGTGATGGTGGTGATGGTGATGGTGATGTGGTGATGGTGATGGTGATGATGGTGATGGTGGTGATGGTGATGGTGGTGATGATGATGATGATGGTGATGACGATGATTGGTTTGGGGGCCAATAATGCTGAGGATTACTCCTGGCTCTGCACTCAGGGGTCATTCTTGGCGGTGCTCAGGGGACCATATGGATGCTGGGGATGGACGCTGGGCAAGCCATATGCAAGGCAAGTGTCCTACATTTTGAACTATCATTCCCGTCCCTACCATGAAGATTTTAACAACACTCCTTTTGATCTATGATCCCCAGCAAACAGAGATAGTCATATCGTGGGTAAAGTGAAACATCTGAATTTTCTCCCTAGTTTAGTTTTTAATTTTTTTTAAAGAAATACTACATGGCAATGTTCATTTGCTCAAATCCAGGAAGAAAAACCTTCCAGAGGCCCGAAAGACAGCACAGCAGTTAAGATGCCTGGCATGTGGCGGACCCGGGCTCATTGCCGGGAATCCCTTATGGCCCATCCCCACGCACTGCCAGGAGTAATTCCTGAGTGCAGAGCTAAGAGTAATCCCTGAGGGTCTCTAGGTGTGACCCAATACCCCTCCCCCAAGAAAGGAATAAGCTAAGCTGTGCAAACCCCAGCGCTCTCTCTCACCTCGCTTTAACACTGCTTCCCCTTCATCACCTGTGACAGTGGGTCTGGACTGGCTTCCATTGCCCCGGTCAGGATGTCAGGCATGGCAGCACCTGCGCTGACCCCAGCCAGCCAGCTACAAGAGCCCACCCTTTAAGCCACTCTACTTAAGGACTCCAGACTCCGAGAAAACAGACTGGGTGGTATAGCTACCACGGAAACCATCTGCACAACCCTCACATCTGCACAACGTGGCCTAAAATGAGATGTTGCTGCTGAAGTGGGATGCCCGAGAGAGATGCTCTATTCTTCTGCCTGTATCTTCCTCTCTGTGCCCACTCCTGGCCCCTGTTTGTGCTAGAACTGTTTCTCAGAACAGGCCGCAGGTGGCCTAGGAGTCAGGCACGAGTGCACCCACACGTGCCAACGCATTGCCAACACTACTGGTGAGCTGAAGGCCCCTAGGAGGTGGCCATGCCACCGTCCAGCTGAAAGCTGCAGGCGAGAAGCATTGGTGGAGGAGGTGGAAGGTAGATCCACCTGTGAGATTCTGGAGAGAGCCCCAGGTAGGGCAGGTGAACGCAGTGCCCAGAGACGGGTGCCAGCTGGGAACTGGCAGAGCCCTAGAGCCCTATAGACGGGAGCACTCAAGGCCTGCGGAGGGGTCACGGCCTCCACCTCCCCCTGGCCTCTGGTCTGTGCCCAGACGTCTGAGAAGGGCTGGAGGAGACTCGACCGAGTACTGCAGAGAGGACACTGTCTGTCTGAGCTCAAGTACGCCTCTCTCCCCTCCGGGGGACCGCAGGAATTGGCCCAGCTATCAGTCAGCTGAAGGAGGAATATCAAGGGGGACATCCAGACCAGCACATGCAGTCACCCTCTTTCCCTCCAGCAGATTTACCGGCCACAGGGGTCCCCTCAGCAGTGGGGGTTCGGGGTGGGACTGAGTCAGGATGGTTGAGAAGCAATCCCTGCTGATCTGTGTGTCTGGAGGGAGAAAAGCAAACTTTGGGCCTTTTAAATATGAGTGGTTTATTTTATTTTATTTTATCATTTGTTGCTGACACACAAGCGATCTGCTCTGAAAAGTGGCTCCACTTTAAATGCATTTTCTCCTTAGAAAAGCATTATCTCAAAATGATGTGCTTAAGAGTCCAAAGCGTTGAAAGGCAAAAGTCCCATGCATTTCCATCCCTCGAAAGGATGACTGGGACGTGTTACGTGCTCTCTGCTCTCTCCGTGTACAGGCGGGCTGACAGGGATTGCTAAGGATAACCAAAAATGGGCCAGGGAGATGGCTCGGAGGCTATAGACTTGCTTTGCATGTGGGAGCCCCGGGTTCAATCCCTGGCACCACGTGGTTCTTCAAGCACAGTCCATACTGGCCCAGGAGCACCTTGCCAGGAGCAGCCTCTGAGCTGTGCCCGTGTGTGTGGTAAGAAAAAGACGGGACAGAGGAAGTGTCTCAAAGGGTATCCAGCCGATGGCTGGCAGGCATGAGGTCTTCGGTCCACCTCCAGTACTATATGGGCCCCCCAAGGCATTGGGGGGTATTGGGTATTGGCCTGGGGGGCCCACAAGTCCCATTAGGAGGTAGCTGCCCCCACAACCATTTTTACAAAGAGAATCAGAGAGGACCTAGTCCTCAAGGCCCGAGGCCTGCATCAGAGAGCTCTGACGTGTGCCCCTGGCTGAGTGTGTGTGTCCCTCCTGGACCGGGCTCCGGCGAGGAAAGGGTTGTGGACACAGACTCAGCTGCTGGCCGCAGCTCATTCCCCAGGGAAGGCCACCTGAGGTGCAGCCTTTCTTTGCGGTGACTCTAGGGAAAGGCTCCCTTGCAAGGGGGTTGATGACTTCTTTGAGAAGCAGAAGGTCCAGGGGAGCAGAAGGTGGACGTTCAGCTCCTTAACTGCATTAGGGAGTCAAAGGGGCTACACTGAAATGGGCAGGTGTGGGGGGACATGTTTGCATTTCAGCATTTCAAAGGGGGCACAGATCTGTTTCTGGTCACTTCTACACACTGAGCTCCTGCTGCCTGATAGTGCTGGGCTGG